TAAAGTAAGTCAGAAATAAAAAGAGGACAATATGCGAAAGGAACATTTTGCGAAGAGGACATTCTGCGAAGTGGAAATTCTGCGAAGTGGACATTCTGCGAAAGAGACATTCTGAGAAAAGGACATTTAGCGACCAGTGGACATTCTGCGACGGAGCCGCTATTGGCTTATAATTCTTATCGGCTATATAGCAAGGTATAGTGTGTATTATAAGTGTGCTGGAGGACCGAAGGTTTTGCCTTTCATGCATGAGGGTGCGGTGTAAACCTACCAACGGTAAGTACCAATGTGCCTTTGTGCCAATTGTGCCTACTTTCTAAGACTATTTAGACACGACAGACGGTGAAGGAAAACATCGCGAGGAAATATAGGCTCATAGTTTCTAACTATAAGTTTGAAATCGCCAACCCACATTGAGCAAGCGTGGTGATTAATGCTCAAACCTTCTCCGTGTGAGTAGATGCCTTTGGTCAGCAGTTGGCATTTATAGGCTGTTGATTAGCGATCCGTATGCTCGTTTACTGGCTTATGCCATAAAAAAAAAATGCTCGTCGGTTAAGAGTACTTTTAATTCTGCCCTTCTTTAATATATCGTCTATCTGGTAGGAACCAAAGAAGTATGTAAGAACCGTAGCGATTAGCGTTACATAGTCTCTATCTACCCCAGGGGTGAGTTTATGTATATACTATGTATTATTTTCTCCTGTGTCGTGGGTGCGTTTATAAACATACAAGTTCACATTAACATGACACCCAGACCCGGAACAACAATTTGTGGATCGCACACCGCTATACGTGACACGGCAGGCAGGTGCCCAGTCACCGCGTCAACCTGACTGTACGTCAATCATATTTATATAATACCTAGACCTACTTACCGATAAAAATAGTCAAAGCTATAAGAAAAATTAACTTAACCATAAAGAAACAAATTAACCCATAGATTGTCGTATGCGTCAAAATGTCGGCGCATAATATGGAACGTTTGCAGGGAGTCAAATACGTATATACAATACCTATTTGTTGTGAAATAAATCAACACGATAACATCAAGAATAATACCTTATCTAGATGTAATTTGATCAAAGTACATATTGTTTTTTTAATTGTTGGAATTGATTGTTAAATTAGTAGGTATATCATCATTATTCATGTTTTCCTCAAGACATATACTTCTCTGTTTTTAATAAAACTTAAGCCTAATGCTCACCACAATTTGTACGCCTCCGGGTATAGCATAGCGCTCTTTTTTATTACCATATATAAGACCTACATATATCTGTATGCACCTATGTTAACAAATAAAAGTGATTTGATTTTGATTAGCGGGAAACAGCCAAGAACCGCGAAAAATAACGAAATCTCATCAGAGGTCAAGATCCACTTTGAATTACGGAGCCAACAGAGTAGGTATATGAATGTAGATTAACTTTATTATGGCTACATTTTATGAAATTTAAATTAAAAAGTCATTAATACGGTGCCGTCCAGTCCTTAGATAGATTAGAAGGGTGAGTTCATCGGCAGCTTGGCCTAAAGAGGCTCAAAAAGGGCCTATAAGGGCTTGAAACACTAACTACTTAACTTAAAATATTAAACCAAACTACAACACTACTGGCTGTATTGAAACCATAGACTTAGAAAAAAATTTAATTAAAAAAGCAATGTGTCAAAGAGTTTGTCTATGATTTCAAATTGAAATAAAACTAATTTAAAAATATTCGAAAACACAATTCAAAAAATATTTTAATTTGAGCAAAATAATTGAATATTTAGTTTTAAATTTATTCTATGTAAATATCGCTCCGTTATTGTTTATTTAAAGATTTACTAAAAGTATGTCTGCTTCGTCGGTTGAGTTGTTAAAGTGCTACCGTCAAGGGGTCGCCGGTTTCATTCCACACAATACGTATTACGACTGTGATTCTTTATCGCTATTTCAAAAACTAATAATTTTACGCAATCATTGAATAAATATGAATATCAATTATTTTGCTGCAATAAAATAATTTTTGACTAACAGGGTAAAGAAGAATCAAATGCGATTTGTCTTTACGCTTTCAAAATAGCATGATTCAAAACAATATCATATTGTTTACACTAATATTATAAATGTGAAAGTTCGTTTGTTTGGATGTTTGGATGTGTGGATGTTTAGATGTCTGGATGTTTGTATCTTTGGATGTTTGTCCATTAATCACGCTGAAACTACTGAACGGATTTTGATGTTATTTGTTATACAGGCAGGGTATGGGCTGACTTAGGTGATAGGATACTTTTTATTCCGATTAAATATCCCCTTGGGATGAAACAGGAATAAGCACGCAAGGCCGCGTGTTCTCCGGCCACCGTAAGCACGGGCCTGCGGACGACGAGAACGGGTGACTCGCCGCCCGACTAGAACCAGGCCCGAGAATATGGCGCGTCGCGTTCCTTGCGCGCCTCAAGGAGCCATCAGACCACCACAGATAGGGCTCAACAGTGCTGATGTCGATACGGAGCCGCGGAAGACTTAACGGTTTGCCAGGGCTCCGGCTCGATGTGCAGGAGTATGAATGGTGTGGTTTTTAGTCAGTAAGAGTCTGACACTCCCCTTCGTCTCACCCGGGCGTGAGCAAAATAAGCTCAAAAACTACTAGATGGATTTTTGTCCAGTTTTCACCAATAGACGAACAGTTATTGTTTTTTTTTTACGGCATAAGCTGGTAAACGAGCGGACTGATCATCTGACGGTAATCAATCGGCGCCGCACATGGACATCTGGAACACCAGAGGCGTAAGAAGTGCGTTACCGGCCTTTTGGGAATTAGGAGTTAGAGGATCGTTGGAGATTCAGGGATTGAGAAGATTGGGGAAGGGAAGGGAAATTGGGCCTCCAACAACCCCACTTACACGACGAAACACAACGCAAGCGTTGCTTCCCGTCGGTTTTCTGTGAGGCCGTGGTATCACTCGAGCCGGCCCATTCGTGCCGAAGCATGGCTCACCCACACTTAAGATCGTAGAGTGCTATGTGCTTGTGTGAAATACGATTTGAAAATAAATATATTAATATTATCTATATAAATAAAAATGAATTTCCGTTCGATAGTCTTGCTAAAACTGGAGAACGACTAAACCGATTTGGCTAATTTTGGTCTTGAAATTATCGTGGAAGTCCAGGGAAGGTTTAAATGGTGAGAAAAGACTTTTGGCGGTACAAAGTTCGCCGGGTCAGCTAGTTTTAAATAAATTGTTTGAATCATGTTATAAAGATTTCTAATTAGTTACACGAAGCACTTACCTGCTTCAGATCAGAACCATGGATTCAGTACCTACTTCAAAAATCTATCATCATAGAACTTGTTTGGGAAACCAACATTTTGCAAGCCTATTTCTGTAAGTTATCTATATTTTGTATTAGCGACCAGCCCCGGCTTCGCACGGGTGTAATATGCAAGATTTATACATTTTCTATATATAAATCATAAAGAGCGCCCTAAACAAGCACCTCATAGACGCTCCTAAGTTTTTTTGACGCTGCTGTTACTCTATGGGCAATTGGCAACGCGCATCCTGGGCCATCTCTATGTAGCCTGGCGCCATAGACTTGCCTAGTTTGCCTCAGACTGCCCATTGTACAATCTATATTAGGACGAATAGAACGGCGAATGAATAGACGGATTACCTGATGGTAAGCAAACGGTCTACATTCTCAACACCAGAAGAGTCAGAAGGTTGCTGACCTCTTTGGGTTTGGGCCATAATATTTTGGCGAACATAAAGCAAGCCAGCTTTATTTTTTCTTATTTGTAGGTTTCATCAATATCAATCATCAGCTTGTAGCTGTCCCACAGCTAAGAAAAGGCTTCTTCTTACACGGAGAAGGGGAGACCAAATAATTTTAACTTAACATAACATCACGCCTTTTATCCCCGAAGGAGTAGGCAGAGGTGCACACAGAAGTAACACCCACTTGTCACTATTTATGTTATGAGTCCCATGTAATAGGGGGTGAGCCTATTGCCATATACCGGGAATATATATCCAGACTCCGTGCTACTACTGAGGTTTTATTTTTCAAAAAACAAATTAATACTTTGCCCGACCCGGGAATCGAACCCGAGACTACTTGCCCGGCAGTCGCACTTGCGACCGCTCGGCAAACGAGGCAGTTAGATAATTTTATTATAACACATTAGTCGTATTGGCGATATCAAAATAAACTTATGATTTTGATGAGAAAATGAACTTATTTTTATTTTTGGAAATCCGTATCCATTATGATACTCTTATGTATAACCTAGACGATCTGATCGCTTCACATAAATTTATGTCTTAAAAAGAATCTTCACCCGAAAATATGTTAAACATTAAATATAAGGGAAGTTATTTTTTTTTTTTTTTGGTAAATCCATATCCAAATTAATATTATAAAAGGAGGTACATATATGTCAGTGTGTGTGTTAGTTTGTTTTTCCGTCTTTCACTGTCAAACGGAGCGACGAATTGCCGTGACTTTTTAAGAGGAAACAGTTGAAGGGATGGAAAGCGACATAGGCTACTTTTTGTCTCTTTCTAACCCCTCATTTCCCCGACCCGAGCGTACGGCGCGTCGCGTTCCGCGCGCGCCTCAAAGAGCCATCAGACCACCACGGGTAGGGCACAATAGGGCTGATACCGTTACGGAGCCGTGTAAAACATAACGGGTTCCCGGGGCTCCGGCTGAAAGTGCAGGAGTAGGAACGGGGTGGTTTTTAGTCAGTAAGAGTCTGACACTCCCTCCCGGGTGAGGCCACCCGGGTGCGAGAAATCATTGGATGAATTTCCAACCTCAAAAAAATAAGGGATGTATAGCGACATAGGCTACTTTTTGTCTCTTTATAACCTCTCATTTACCTAAAATTTCAAGGTAGAAGCTAGAGTAACATAAAAAAAATGTACAGTAAAGGTACTGAATCCATAATTCTAACCCTAAAAAATGCACAATAAACGCTAAAAGTTGAAGTGAAAAGACTCACTTGTTAGCAGCCTTCTGAGCTTGTTCGATTAGAACAAATGTTATCCTGTATTGTACGATTAAGATCATCAGTTTGACCAGTTCCTCCCACAGGTCTTTGCAAGTGGATATGCACATTCCTCCGTTGTTAAGTCCAAGGTATGGATAAGGATCTACTTCGCTCTGTAAAAGGATATTTTTTATTTTATTATTATTGTTTTCGGCTTACTCGAGCAACTGTTTATTGTTTCTTTTATTTATTTCTATAACATAACATCACGCCTTTTATCCCAGAAGTGGTAGCCAGAGGTGCACACAGAAGTAACCCCGACTTTTCACAATTTATTTATTTGTATACTCTATATATTTTTTAATATTTGATTTATAAAAAACATAGCACTGCCTCATTAGCCGATCGGTCACAAGTGCACTGCCGCAAGGGTTCGATTCCCGGGTTGGGTAAAGTATTACTGGGTTCTTTTTTTATTCTCAGTAGTAGCACGGAGTCTGGCAATAGGCTCTCCCCCTATTACATGGGACTCATAATATAAATAGTGAAAAGTGGGTGTTATATTGTACAGTAGCATTAAGTGCCGTAAAGTGCACCTCTGACTACCCCTTCAGGAATAAAAGGCGTGATTATGTAAAAAAAAAACATTTAAAAATATGATAAAAGTCCACCAGTAACGGGTGAAATCCGAACTACTGGCTGTCAGGTCTCCAGAGAGACCATGTCCAGATGTGCTGACTGCTTTCTGCATCAAACCCTTGACCCAACCATCTAACGCTATCCTACTCAAGTGTGCGAGGACCGCCCGGAGGACACGGTGGAACACACAGTGGGAGAATGCCCTGTGTGGGCTGAGCACCGCCGTGTCCTCAGGGAAGTGATCGGTGATGTCGACCTCTCGCGTCCGGGTCTAATGCAGGCCATGATGCGGAGCGAGGGGGACTGGGATGCCGTCTCCTCCTTTTGCGAAGCAGTCATGCTAGCTAAGGAGGAGGCGGGACGCGTGAGGCAGCGAAGCGCTGTCTCCTCGCAACCCAGCCATCGCGAAGGACACACCGGGCTTCGAGGATCGCGGAACGATCTCCGGCCACCGGGACTGCGGACGGCGAGCATGGGTGGCTCCCCGTCCGACCACAAACAGACCCGAGCGTACGGCGCGTCGCGTTCCGCGCGCGCCTCAAAGAGCCATCAGACCACCACAGATGAGGCCCAATAGGGCCGATGCCGATTCGGAGTCGCGGAGAACCTAACGGGTAACCGGGGCTCTGGCTCGACGTGCAGGAGAAGGAACGGGGTGGTTTTTAGTCAGTAAGAGTCTGACATTCCCTTCCGCCTCACCTAGGCGGGAGCAGTCATTCGATGTTTTTCCCCCCTTAAAAAAAATGGTCGAGGCTTTAAGCTATGAGGCCTTTGGCAGATATTGATTTTCTCAAAAGGTTTTATTTAGCTATTTAGCTAGTTTCGTTTGTTCGGGTCTTGGCCAAACTATAATATTATTTAGACACCGGTATTTGTTACCGGTGAAGCAAAAACATCGTTAGGAAACCTAAGCTTTTCATTACATAGTACCTCGCTATCCGCCGTCTGTCTATCCCTATGTATGCTTGGATCTGTAAAACTGCGCAACGAATTTTGATGCGGTTTTTTTTAATAGATAGAGTGATTCTTCAGGAAGGTTTATATGTATAATACATGCATAATATAGTAGAGACACACTGATAAATTTAGAGGTATTTATTTGCACCCGTGCGAAGCCGGGGCGGGTCGCTAGTAATTTCTAATTATAAGTTTGAAATCGCCAACACGCATTGAGGAAGCGTGGTGATTAATGGTCAAATCTTCTCCGTGCGAGAAGAGGCCTTTGGTCAGCTATGGGAACTTATAGACTGTCGATGATGATAATTGTTATTAAGTAGTGGCTTTAATGAGACATGAGGCGAAACACGAATTCGAAACACATGGAGTGTTTGTTCCATCTCTTTCAAATCTTCTCAAGTTGCATTATTAGACTGAGTTCGTTTTACACTAGGACCATGATACCTAATATCAAAGATGTTTTAGAAAATTATTTCATTGGCAAACCAAAAAAATATTTAAAAAAATCTCTGATAAGTCAATTTCGAGTTTAAAAATAGATTAAAGCAAATAAAAAAGCATTAAAAATAATTTAACAAAAATTTTTATCGCCCCCGGGTGGGCTCGAACCACCAACCTTTCGGTTAACAGCCGAACGCGCTAGCCATTGCGCCACGGAGGCTGATGCATAAATATCCAAAATTTTAAATTGGTTTCCAAGAATTACCAGTAACTTCTTTATTCCTAAATAGACTATTCAAAAAAATATCCTTTTGTCCATACACAACAATAAATAACAATAGGACAGTTAACAGTGTATGAAACTTAAAAAAAATGTATTTAGTCCATCATTAGTAAAATGAAAAAATATAAGACGAGTATTTTATGTTTTGTCGTCTAAGAAAACAATATTTAGCTAAAACGATATTTGGTTTAGGAGTCTGAAAGCCAGCTACAGCAATAAAATGTATTAAATCGTGACGTCACACGATATTTCAAATGAATTTATAATCGTGAGTATTAAAATGTGAGAAAAAGGAAATACATGCCTAATACCTATTTTAAATTAATATAGGTATCAGATGGACAATAAAGTAAATGTATTAGGAAAATAATCGTATTAGGTAATGATCAAATTGTGTACTTGCCAACTAGTCAAACTCGATACTTTTTACGAACTGTCAAAAACGAGAGTTTTCTATAATTTTTTTTACGAGATTGTGTATTGTGACGTCACGTTTTTTAGCGTCAGACAGCATACTTATTTCTTAAAAATATGCTGGAAAAATTAACTAAAATCGCGGGTTACTCACGTAAATATACTGAGAAAAGCTCTACTAGTTTCAAACCACAGAGGGATTTTAGTTATTATAGAAACATATAATAGTTATTATAGATATTATAAAAACATGCTGGAAAAATACCAATATTAAGTTGGTAATTCGACGAGGAACGCGGCGACTGTCGCGCTGCTTCGTCGAGGATCGCGAAATGCTGCTCATGAATATGAGCCTCTTGCATGGCTTGAAACTAGTCGAGTTCCTTGTCGAATTACTACGTGAGTAAGCCGAAAACATAATAATTTATTTAGTATGCCTCACAAAAGTTACAATACAAATATTAAGTTGGTCATAAATTCAATTACTGAAAGTGTAATATTTTTTTTATATTTTATTGTATTGAACAGTCGAAATACTTTACTTTTGATTGAGGAAAGTACCTATCCATTTGTTAATACATTTTGTCAATGCTACTACTCTTCCAGAAAAGTTCCCTGATTGATGTCCAAGTACTCAAACGTTACTCAATTTTAATTCACCCTGTGTAAAACAGAGGCCTTAGTACGAGTTTTATTTACGTTTAAAGTATTCGAAACGAGTACGCATTCGGTACTCTGATTGGCCGGCGCCAAAGAACCAACCAATCAGAGCGCCGAACGCGTACTCGATACGATTACTTTATACGTAAATGAAACTCGTACTAAGGCCTCAGTTCTGTCACTACGAATCTATACATACAGATAAATAAAATTGTAGTGTCTGTTTGTGAGATTAAAATAACCGCTTTTTACTACACGCATATGAATATACATACGATACACATACCAAAAGATTTATTTATACAATATTTCTCCGTCTGTCTCTGTGTAGGTACTGGCTAATCTCTGAAACGGGTGGAGCGATTTTGACGGGACATTTATTGGGAGGTAGCTGATGTAATAAGGAGTAACATACTTAGGCTACATTTATTATGGAAAAACAAAACAAAAACACAAAACAGCTAGTTCTTGTAAGATGACAGAGAACATAAAGAGATACATAAATTAAAAATTATAAAAATATACAAAGGGTATCACTGAAATGGAACTCAGTAACTTTCTATTCACATCAACAACCTATAGTTGACCAAAGGTCTCATCTCAACGAAGAAGGTTTGAGCATTAATCACCACGCTTACTCAATGCGGAGTGAGCGTTTCCTCACGATATTTTCCTTCACCGTTTGTCACTGGAGTCTAAATAATCTCATAGTTTAGCCATTCGAAGCCTGCGAACTGTCATAAATTATGTCACACGTTAAGGGGTAGGGGGGGTCGACGAAGTGTGACATTGTGTGACAAGGGGGAGGGAGGGATCCTAAACTTTGTGATGTCACATTTCAAAAATTAATATAAAACACGCAATATTATAATTTTAATATTAACATTTTTTATTTTGTTTGATTTGGTAGGTATAAATAAAACTGATTTCGTGACGTCACACTAGGGGGGGGCGTCTCACAAATGTGAATAGCTGTGACAAGGACGGGGGGAGGGGCAAAAATCATGAAATTCGTGGCTCTTTGCGCACGCCTCAAGTAGCCATCAGACCACCACGGATGGGGCCCAACAGGGCTGATGCCGATACGGAGCCGCTGAGAACTTAACGGGTTACCGGGGCTCCGGCTCGAAGGAACGGGGTGGTTTTTAGTAAGTAAGAGTCTGGCACTCCCTCTCGCCTCACGTGGGCGGGAGACGTCATTGGATGATTTTGAAAAAAAAAATTTAAGACGGATAAGCGGCTACTATACATATCGGCCTATGTTCAGCAGTGGACATCCTGTGGCTGATATGATGATGATGATGATGAAGTGGCTACTGATGATGATCAAAACTTACATCTTCAGCGATAAGGTTATTCACTTTGACACCTGAAACACTTCTCTGTTGAGTTTTTACTGTTATCGTGGCCTGCAACGAAAAAAAAAATTAAACATACATAACATCACGCCTCTTATCCCCAAAGAGGTAGGCAGAGGTGTACATTACGGCACTTAAACTGTCAAATACCAAGCGGTCACCGGTGACCGCAACCTATTGTTCTATAATTGTATCTGCAAAACCGGTACTCGACGAGTTAATGCCACTGTACAATGTAACACCCACTTTTCACTATTTATATTATGAGTGTAATAAATTATTTAATAAATATATGTTTTTCTATATAATTCTCAGTAGTACCACGGAGTCTGAAACTGTGTCCGGTATATGGCAATAAGCTCACCCCCTATTACGTGGGACTTGTAACATAAATAGTATAAAGTGGGTGTTACATTGTACAGTGGCATTAAGTGCCGTAATGTGCGCCTCTGCCTTCCTCTTTGTGGATAAAAGGCGTGATGTTATGTTATGTAATAAATTAAAATCTTTTTAAAGAACGCTTAGTATTTATGGTAATGCAAACTAGACGTTACACAAAATTACAGCTTAATCAGTTAAAAGACATCTGTTTCAAAATTTCGTTTCAATATTCACACACATATACATGCATACATTAACTCGTCGAGTACCGGTTTTGTAGACACAATTATAGAACAATAGGTTGCGGTCACCGGTGACCGCTTGGTATTTGACAGTTTAAAAGTTAAATATGAGATTAAATGAAATATCATAAAAGTTTGGGATATATAGGGATTACATACATATTATATAACTTCACTCCTGTCTTTCATGGGGGTAGCAGAGACTACGCAACGCCAATTGCTACGATTCCTCTTTCGCTTAATCAACAGTCATCAATCTTTTCATGCATGCTCGTCGGTTAAGGATACTTTTATTTGGCCCTTCTTTAATATATCGCCAATCTAGTCAATATATGTATAGCCGTCTAGGGCGCCCTCTACCGACGGCCCCATTCATATCCGCTCTGTATACTTCTTTCGTTACTCTACTTTCATCTATCTTTTCTACATTTTTAAACCAGCGTAACATTTCCTTTTCAATCCATGTCACTACATCATTTTTCAATAGGTATTCTTTATGTAATACCTACTCAATCTACCTCTACTACCTAAAGTAGGTTTTCAATAAAGAATACCTACTTTAAGCTAGTTATGTTAATTGTGGTCGTTAACGTTATGGTGGCCCGGAGGTTTATGAAGCACTTCTCATACATGAGGGTGCTGGTTCGAAACCTACCAACGGCAAGTACCAATGTGACTTTTTCCGAGTCATATGTACTTTCTAAGATTATTTAGACACCACTGACAAACGGTGAAGGAAACCTGGACTTATAATTTCTAACTATAAGTTTGAAATCACCAACCCGCATTGAGCAAGCGTGGTGATTAATGCTCAAACCTTCTCCGTGTAAGAAGAGGCCTTGCTCAGCAGTGAGCATTTATAGGCTGTTGATAATGTTAATTGTGGTCTGCACGCACGGTGGGCGACCGGCTGCCGCACAACGTGTCCCGGTTTCGAATCCCGTACCGAACAATTCCGTGTGTGATCCACAGATTGTTGTTCCGAGTTTGGATGTTATGTGTATGTGAAATTGTATGTTTATAAACGCACCCACGACACAGGAGTAAATCCTAGTGTGGAGCTTTTGAAAAAACGAAAGGAGAAGTCCGATATAACTGACACTAAGTCCATTATAGACCTTATTTCCGATGTACACAGACTACTTTAAGAAATGTGTGGATTGATTCATAATCGTACATTTTTTTTAAGGGCGGAAAATGTTCGAATGATTACTCCCGTCTGGTTGAGGCGGATAATCAGACATTTACGAGTTAAAAAACAAAACAAGAAAGAATCAATAACATTCCACACGAGCCGAGACTTCTTGTAAAATTCAGTGGCTTGATAGTCATGCCTGAAAACACCTGATACATTAAACACGAAGATAAAAAAAATCTTATAACAAAGAAAAAATATCAATCATACAAAATTATAATCAGAATCAGAATCAGAATCAGAATATTTTTATTTGTAAACATAGGTATGTGAGGTGTTACAGGTAGGTAAGACCTCACACCTCACTAATATTTATTTGTAGGCGTACAAATATTATATAAGTATAATTTTATTAAAAATATTTAACTTTGTAATCATTCAAAAAATAATTGACACTTGTAATTGTAAATTAAATTGAAACCGATTAAGTAACATGTCATACAATACTAATGTCAAACAAAATTAGGATCATCAAATAAGTTATAAGTAATGTCAATATTAACAAGATTTAACAAATTGTCTAGAGAGATTAATTTTCGTGTCATATTATTTAGCGTTAAATATAACATTAACAGATACGCATAAGCATATCATTACAAATAAAATAGAATTAATTCAATAAAATGTCAAAAACAATTAAAGTTACATGTCATAAAGGCCAATGTCAAACAAAATTCAAAAAAATCAAAACAAATGGGTAATCAAAGAAAGGTATTTATTTTACATAACGGTTCACGCCTTTTACCCCCGAAGGCATAGCCAGAGGTACACATTACGGCACTTAATGCCACTGCACAATGTAACACCCACTTTTCACTATTTATGTTACAAGTCCCACGTAATAGGGGGTGAGCCTATTGCCATATACCGGGTACAATTCCAGACTCCATGCTACTACTGAGATTTTTTTCTATGCAAGGAAGTATTTTAACCAGCAAAACATATCCCGTATGGTCTAGTGGCTAGGATACCTGGCTTTCACCCAGGAGGCTCGGGTTCGATTCCCGGTACGGGAAAAACTTTTTGCAGTATTTGTGAATTTTTTTCTCTTAGTGAGAGATTTTTTTAAATTTCAAAATGCAATGAAATATGCGATACATAATAATATTTCTAAACATTGTTTATACCAGAAAATTATGACAAAAAAGATTCCACATAGGCCCCGGCGAGATTCGAACTCGCGATCTCCTGTTTACTAGACAGGCGCTTTAACCAACTAAGCCACGGCGCCTCTGATAAAGATAAGCAAAATAGTCAAACACAATTTGACAAATTATTTATAACAAAGTATCATACCAGATAATTATCAAATACCTATAAAAAACCTAAATTCCAAAGAGAAAAGTCTATTATAGACCAGCTTCTGCCCGTGGTACGCTCGCTTTCCCTGGGTAAAAGTACCCTATGTGTTACTTCAAACAGTAATCTACCTCTGTTTCAAATTTCATCCTAATCCGTTCAGCCGTTTTGATAAGTAACAAACATAAATACACAAATTCACATTTTTTTCACTTTTATAATATCGGTTCAAGCTAATTTCAACAGATATCTACATCAACCGGCAACCTAACATTCGACAAACTTACATTTGCGTTTGGTATAGTAACTGTGTTTAGGGATTGAGCCGCACAATTAAGTTGGTTTTTTCGTGTATATGTACTTTTCCGAGATATAGAGTACCTACCCAGTGCGGCAGTGCGATACCCAGGATATTAAAGTACGTCTATATAATCAAACCAAGTTTCATCAATCATCATCATTCAATTTTTAATTATCCGTAAATAAACCAGGCAGACAGACAAAAATTTATTTCTATATATTAATAATATCGTCAAGGGGTACGGTAGACTCGATCGAAACAATACCTGAATAACATAGGTAACATAAAAAAATATCGATTTCGAGTCGACAACATATATTATATCCGCAAAATTCGGATTACGGAGATTATTTCGTTTTAGTAATTCATTTTAATGACACTGACAGACAAACCGCAGCCGCCATCTTGAGTAGACAATAAACGTTCCGTTTTATACTAGCTCTCAAATACGCCTCGCCAATCAACACGTTGTCGCGTTAAACAAGTAAAAATTAACAAGAAATATGAATAATTTCACGCGAACGAAGTCTCGGGTAACAGCTAGTAATGTTATATTTGGGTTCGGTGTCCATCTAGTAACACGCCATACTATGAATTTTTTAAATAATTTCAATGTACATAATTTAGGTACACTTCTACAGTTTTATAACATGTATAAGAAGATTATTTTTCCTTATTTACCTACTATAAGTAAATAAGAAAAAAAAAACCGGTAGATACATCATTTTCCTTATATACTTAAATGCTTTTTTGAAATTAATTTGAACAAATATTAACAAATTAAACAATATAACATCGTTATACCGGTTTACTTATTGCAACAGCTGTTGTTTACATACACTCATTTTTCAGTAGGTTTCAGTGTCTATTTGTACAATCGATACAGTTTATAATTGACCCATCGTAAATTGAATATCTTAATGAACATTAAAATATCTTTAAAGAAGTAATCGTAAGTAGTAATAATAGGGTAGTTTCCTAAATTTTATTTAAATGTCCGTCTGGTAGATTAATTTAAAACTTTAGACACGCATTTTGTCTATTCTCACAAAATTAAATACTTTCGACGATATATTAATTTGAAATATCGTGTGACGTCACAGCGTGTCACATTTTGTAGCACGTTATGACGTAACGACCTCAACTCCTAAACTTAGCGCCATTTTATCTAAGTATTGCAACTTAATATGAGAAAATAAAAAATACGTGTCTAATATTTTTTCATTATCTAACTGACGGACTAATTAGGTTTTTAATTTTGATACCCTGGAAACTACCCAATTATGATTTTTTCATATAGAAATTGAGATAGGATTTGTAGATTAAAAATAAATATTTCAGTTGGGACGCAAATTTCTATAGTTAAAACTACTTTTGGTAATAATGAAGTAAAAATAGACTGCCTCATTGACCGAGTTGTCGCGACTGCCAGGCAAGGGGTGTCGGGTTCGATTCCCGGGTCGGGCAATGTATTATTGGGTTTTTTTAAAGTATACCTAGTATCACGGCGTCTTGAATTGTGCCCGGTATATGGCAATAGGCTCACCCCCATTTACGTGGAGCTCATAATATAAATAGTGAAAAGAAGGTGTTACATTTAACAGTGGCATTAAGTGCTGTAATGTACTGTGCC